GGATGGATGGATGGATGGATGGATGGACGGTGCTGCATTCACCCTCCCTGTGATCTGGCTCAGCATAAAATTGGAGGGAAGTACCTGCTGCAATGGTTTCCTGTGGAGGTTTTTGTGTGCTAAAATATCTTTGGTGCCAGACTTTGGGCATGTTGTTATGCGGAGGAAATGTTTAAATGCAGAAGTCAAACCTGCTGGCTGGATTTTCAGGGAAGATGGCCACAGTAGCTGAAGAGGCTTCTTCACCTTGAGTATCCCCACTACTTTATTATTGACTGATTTTTTCTTTTTTAGCTTTAACATTTCAGGAGACTGGAAGCTCAGGAGAAAGCTTGCAACTGCCCTTTTTTGAAACTCTCACCAAGGAGGGAGGGCCAAATACAAGCCCCAGCCATGTTTGGTTGGTGAGTAAAGTGCAGTGATTAGAACACACACCTCCTGTTCTCCCAGGAGAAGCTGGTCTGGGCTTCTATGTCAACAATGCTCCATTTATTGGCAGTGAAGCTCAGTGAGCTATTTATTAAGGCTTTTGTGGGGGAATGGCAAACTTCTTTTGAATGTCACTGCTGAAGGTTAGGAAATGGGAACAGGTGGCAAAACAACCCCCTGAATGTATTTATTGCATGACTTGGCTGAGAAGGAGCATCCCCAGCTTTACAGCTCTTGGAATAGCCATGGCAGCTGCAGCTGACCTGCAGATGTTGGCCTCTCAGAGGGACCCACTGGCCACCTGCTCCAAGTTGCTTTTGCCAGGAGCTGGCTTGAAACAGAGATGCTGATGGCTCCAGTGGGATGGAGGCTTTCTCCTGATGGACACCTAACCAAATCCAGCTCAGCAGGGAGTAATCATCAATTTGTGCTGTGCTCCAGTCAGATGGGTGCAAAGTTGTGAGTAACACTGATGATGCCTGTAGTTACTCAGAGGTAACTATGGAGCAGGGAAGCAAGCAGGGATTTTTCTACCAGTCCTCTCTTTTTTCTCTGAAGTTGCACTGCTCAGGCAGGTGTGTGTGAAGACTATTCTCCTCCTATTCCTTCATCCTCACTCACTTAAAGCTTTTTGAGCTAAGGCTCAAAAAGTGCTGTACATTATACAAATAAGTAGTTGTGAGGAGATGTAAACAAAGCTGAGGAAAGCTGACCTGCAACAGCTTTTAGTCTTAAGATTTTTGGGGATACGACTGTCTTTTGCTGGTGGATGGACCAAGATGCAGCACTGATTAAACCTTCTGCAGGCACAGGACATTTTCTGGTTCCCTCACTTTAATGTAATTTAACAAGATGCAAAAATATTTAATAAACCGTATGTGTAAGTGTGTGCCTGAACAGCAATAAAAGGAAAGTTTTCCAGGACCCATTTGGTGAAAGCAGGGCACTTGAGCTGTGTCTCACAGATTATAAACCTATTACACATTTACTATTTTCCTCCTGGAACGAGCCCAGCTCTGTGAACCTCACGCTGTGCTGAGGGTCCCATTATGAACTATGTGAAACCAGCAAAATAAAACCATCTTCAATCTTTGTGAATCTTGTTAGCCATGAAATGCCTTGCATTTACTGCATACTGTGGCAATAAATACAAGGGGAAGTGAAGGGATGCAGATTATTAAACTATACTCCTTAATGGATTTGATATCATCTAATGTCTAAGTCATGCAGCATTGCTGATATATGAACAGCACTTCTTGATACAGCAGAGCCCTTTAAATTGAGGGCTTGATGAAGGAAAAATCCCTCTATGGTAATACCTATTCAGTGTCTGACAGCATAATGCCCCATTACAATGGTAGGACACACATCTTCCTTCCCTCTGTGGGACTGTGATTACCATCCTGGACTGAACTGAAGTGGGCTTCAATATTATGGACACTGCTTTCTCCCGCTGTGCTTTTCGGTTTTAAAATTGGAGTAATTTGTTGCAAATCTCTCCTACTCTTGCTGTCAGAATCCTCGCATCAGAAGAGTGGCTAATTGACAATAGAGCTGATCTAAAAAATAATAATAGAAATGGTACTTGAGGAAGCCAGACAGTGTTTACCTTTTTGGTTTAGAAGCAAAATTTTAAACATATTACAAAAAGAGAAAGTTGTAACGGTAAAATATTTCCCTGAAATAAATCTGAAGGGGTGTGAGTAATGAAAAGCATAACTGTCTTTAGAAATAAAGCAGCTAGTGGCTTAGCATTCCATGCTAAAACCCAGATGGAGAAGGACTGCCATGACTATGTGCTGCTTGCCTGGACTTGCCCTCTCCTCCAGGGCGGGCTCATGCGACTCAGGAACCTTTTAAACATGGAAAAAAGACCTGGTGGGATGGTTATCCCCCTTTAAGCCTTGGGCATCTTCTCCTTGTCACTCCCACTGGCAGAGCTGCTCCTTGCTAGCCTGCAGCCCTGGGCTGGTGACCCTGCACTGTGCCCACCCAGCCAGGTTACCTGCTTCTGCTCCCTGCCACCTTCCAGGCAAACAGCTGGGAGGCTTCTGACCTGATGGGGGTGCTCCTAAGCTCTTGCCCCACTACCTCCCCCCACTTTTTGAAGGCTCCTTCTTGCTTCCTTGTTGCATCTGTCCTTCCCTTCTGCCTTTACTGTACCTGCTTGTGCCATGGTTGCTTTCTTGAGGACAATGGATTGCTGAGATGACTTGTGCTATAACAGCATCTTCTGACTCAGCCTTGTGTTAGCATGGGGCTGTGGACAGTCTGACAGGCTGCCTCTTTGCTGCCACTGGCTCTGGGGTCTCTCTGGGTTGTATTCCTTGGTGTGGTACAAACCAGCCTTCAAGATAACAGCAGAACATCTTGGAGTTCCGGTTATAAACTTCCTGTGATCACCAGATGCTTTATTTTTATTCCCTCACCTCCCTCTCTTCTGCTGACATTTTTATGACTATTTATATACTTTCTGGAGAAAAAAGAAAAAGAAACTCAATAACATATTTTTCCTATACTTTTTTATTAGGCCAATATTGAATTAAGGTATATTTATTTTTAGTAACAGTTATTTCTACTGTTCTTTTCCAGAACACAAGAGGCATCAGTAAGTAAGGCTGTACATCAGCCCATGACTGTATGTGCAAATATCACTGCTGCACAGAGCTCCCTCTCTTGCTTTCCTTTGTGCTGCATGTCACCTTCACACCGCTGCCACCAGCTCTCAATCACTCCCCTTGACGGAGGTCAAAGAGTACTTGCAAAGTCTTAAGTCTTCCTGGTGCCAGTCCAAGGGGCTGCTAGAGCACTTGAGACAGCCTTCCTCTCCATTTCTTAGCCTTCACAATGAAAGCTGTTTTTTTCTGACCTGGAGGCGCTTATTATTTCTTTAGTGCTTTGCTAGCAATGGTGTCAGCTAGCAAATTGTCATGTCTCATTTAGACTGACTTTGTCTGGGCTTATTTCTTCATAGACTTTCAGCACAGCAAAATCTAAATGTAAGTTGCTACATGATTCCCTCATCTCTACCAAATTTTCAGTGGAAATATACTGGAATGGCTCCTAAATTCAACATCTCCACCATTACTGGCTTCTGACTCACAGCAAAGGACTCCTTGTAATATATCAGATTAGCAGCTAGAATGCTTTATGACATACTTATCTAAAGACTGTGGAAAACTCATTTAGCCTTTCTTGGCTTCCACTTGTCACTCATAAAATGGACATTGTGCTCTTCCTTCTTCTTGGATAATCCGCAAAGCTTTTATGATGATTTCCTATCTACATGCTGTGCATTTCCTATGTAATTTGCAGGCTCTTTGGGACTAGGAGTACCTGGGGTTTCCCATGCAGTAATTTTGTGCAAATAGAATGACCAACTTTCTCCCTTAATCTCTGTGCAACAGCCCATGATTTATCCTTTTGATTTGAAGGGGGGGGGGGGGAGGAGAAAGAGAGTATTTAAAGAAGAATATTTTCTAAAAATTAGTGTATTTTGGCATTATCTTGAGCTGGCTCCATCTGTGTGAACCCCAACCACAGAGCTTCTGAGGGGGCCATTTCTCAATAATTTGGGTGGTGCTTGCCTTGGCATGAAGATGGACATTCATTAATTTCATTTGGGCAGGAAATCTATATTCTGTATTATTCTTGTGTTAATAATACAGAGGGCTAAATCAAAGGTGAATTGATTTCTTGAAGTTGAACATACTTTTGGCATTAGCACAAATACAGCCACAGTCAAAGAGCAGATCTTTCAATTTAGCTCTTATGCTGTTGATGTAAATAAAACTGCTCATGAAGCAAATTGCAGCCAGTTATTGTCTGCACTCAGAACCATTATGTTCTTTGGAAATGATCATTTATGTTAGACAGTGGATTAAGTTTCTATGAAAGTGTGTAAGACAAATGCAAAACACAATTTACCTTGAAGGTCAACTGAATATTGGAAATGGCACTTACAGGTCATTATTATGCAGCTGAAATGATCCCAGGAAAGGGCTTATATTTGTGAAATGATACAAAACTGGAGATTCTTGATTAGCTGAAAGAAACATGAGAAAAAAATGCATGGACTATTAATCCACAAGGCCACAGTGGGCTAGAGGTGAAGTTTCTGCATAATTATCTGGCTTGTGTGGGTAACACATGAGTATGGGAAAACATCCCTGTAAGGCATAGCAAGGAGAGGGAGAGATCTTCCCTTTGGTGCCTCATGTCAAGAGAAAGACTTAACTCCAATTTATGCACCATTAAGGTGGGGATTTGGGTAGGCAGAGCAGGAAGGCAACCCTGGACAGAGAGACTGGCATTTCTGGCAGAGGACCCATCTGAGTATTTCTGTGCATGTTCTGGTCAGCAAACTTACTGTCATCTAAGGAAAATGATTAGCCACCCACCTTGAGGCACACCCTGTTCTTCCTCCTAGGAAGAAGAGTGAGTTACATACAACTACACCTTAAAGGCTGCTGTGAAATACTATCATCTCCTCGGGTACAGCCTTTGCGCTGGTGCTTGTGGCGTCACAGAAGTCCAGTCACCAAAGTTCTCTTTAGCTTTGAGTGCACAGTGCGGCAGGAACTGGGTTGCTGTGCCTCCAAACCTCTCTTGGAGACAGCCTGAGCTCAGCTGGGGTTTAGGCTGCCAGCCCATTTTGTGCATCCTGGTAATGGGGTGTCCTTGCAGTGAGGTGTCCTTGCAGGAAAAGCCCTGATCTGCACAGCCTGTGTGGCCTCAATCCCATAACATTGCTGCAGAGACAGAGGAGTATGGAGCTTGTCAGGTAAGTACCACATAGGAAGGCAGAGCCCCTCCACATGGCAGTGCAATTGTCCTTGGATCACATCCAGAGGTCCCAGGCTCCTTTCAGGTTCACCAGCTGGATCACCTAAACCTAACTCTCACTGTCCCTTCCACATGGCTGAGCAGCAAAGAAAATAGAGCACAGCCTCACACTCTTGGGGATGACATCCCAAAAAGCTGATGTTGGCATAAGGAAGCTTGCAAAAGAGAGAGTCCCCTTTCAAGAATATCATTGTGAATGATCCCAGATAATGTCCACAGGGATCTCTGCTGAGAGCTGCCTCTTGATGTGGGCACAGGGACCAATCCTCTGGCACAACTGGCTTGTACAGGCAACACTCCCTGGGTGTGCAGCCTCTGGCTTAACAGCACAGGCTCCAGCAGGTATAGGAATGATTTATTGGAGATGCATGATGCCATTCTGTTCAGCAAAAATGATGTGCTTATGAAGTGCTTTGCTGCTTTGGAGAGAAAGAAAAACTCCCACAGACTTGCCTCTATTGTCATTGGCTGATTGCAAACTGTCTTGAACAACCATAAAAATCCCACAGGAAGCTGCTTTGTGCCTTTAAAGAGAGCAAAGAGAGTCCTGAAGGCTCTGAAACAGTGACTACTAATCCTGGAGTAGGCACCTCTAGAAAATGGGAAATGGTGGACCTGGCTGTCAGAAGTAATCACCTGGAATACATATCCCAGTGCCTTTTCTAGACTAATTGGATGAGATACTGCCATCATTTCCAGCACAGGTCTGATGTTTGATGGAAATAGCACAGCCATGACCTGTCAGTATTGCTGATCCCATGCTAATGGTTCATGGGAGAGAAAAGGGGCCATTAGTGTAGCTTTGATGTATAAAGCTGGCTTCTTTTACTTCCAAGCTTACAGCGGGAGGTAGGATGGGAATTGCCTTAAAACACTGCTGGATACTGAAATAATAATAAAAAAACCCCAAAACTTGAGTAGATTATGAGTGAATGTCCTTTTCAATGGTGCTCTCCCTAATGAAATACAGCTCTCTCACCTCTGTCATATGCTCCTGTTTTCTGTGTGGTAACATCAGACAATCAATCTCGTCCCATCAGCTTCAGCAGTATGCAACTCCCCCAGCTCGCTGGGGAAAGACTCCTTTTTTTTTATTTCCTCTTTAATTAAGCTCTGTGGCATGCTGCTTTGCTTGCAAGACTCTAAGATGTATGTGTGTTGCTTCAAACAAACCATTGGAGAGAAGAGCATTAAAGATAGCCCTCTCTAACAGTGAGTGGTCTAGAGCCACAGGTAAATGAAGGCACAGGCAGCAGCATCAGCAACAAAAGGAGGTAATGATATGCAATTACTGGATTTGCAAACACTCTGCTGGGATCAGGATCTGCTGGGATCAGGACATCTAAACACACTATGCCAGGCTGCCAAAATTTTGAAAACAATTTTTTACAAATGCAAAGCAAGTGGGCACTTAGCAGCAGCACACATGATATGACAGGTTCTTTGAATAGTATGAATGGCTCTGTCAATAAAGTAAGAGACAGGAAAAGGTAAATGTTTTCCATCCAGTTTTACTATTGTCTGCATCATTGTTCCTACAGTGTAGTCAGAGGTGATTTTAAACTGTTGTGAACAGGTAAAATTCAGCCCATTTAAGTACACATTCATCAGGCAGGTGCCTGATAATCCAGGTCTCTAGAGATGTGAGCTGTCCCTCTCATTGCTTGGAGTCATTGCCCAGCCCATGAACTTGCTCTTGTTATTCAAGGGAGTTTGTGCCCTATTACTGCCAGCTTAAGCCTGTCCATTCACTAAAGGTGGCTGGTTGCCCTCTCTCAAACAGTTCACCTCATCCTTGAAATGCCTCTCCTTTCCATGTGCTGTTGTGCTCTCCAGCCACTGCCTGGGCATTCATCTGTTGATTACAGCCCATGTTTTTGTCCCCTGAATCTGGGCCATTGTTAGAGATGCTGGCAGACATAACTACCCACTGAGACTTCAGAGTGGTATCTATATTTAGACCCTGACACATTCCTGGTGGGGTAAATAGGGTTACATAATAATAAATTGAAGCAGAGGTTAAAGATGAGGTGCAATGTGTTTGGCTTTCCTGGTCACATGCCCTGGGCCATTTATTGATTCACCTTTGGCAATGCATAGGGACTCTTGTGGCACACAAGATCCTGAACATCAACCCAGAAAGATTAGCACCATTACAGAGAAATTGTCATCTAAATAAGCAAGCAAGCAAATTTACAAATGTCAGAGCTCAGGAGCTGTGTCCTTGGTTGTTTTCCACTTAGATTTCACACTGTTCATAATGTACCTGTGCTAGAGACGCTGTACTTTCCTCAAAAGGACATGTGGGAACTTCTGCCCAATTGCCTATTTTCATCCCATTAGGAACTCAGTGTCCCTAGGATCTTTATCCTTCTCTAAATTTGCTTGAAACTGGTGAAAAAATATAAACAATCTGCTGTGGAAGGGCCAAATAGCACAGCCAATGTAGTGACTACATTGATACTGTTTCATTAGAAGACTAGGCTAAACAACATGGAATAAATTACTATTTTAATCCTCGTGTTTTTCTGGTGAGGAATGTAAGTAAAGAGCAGTGCAATAAAGTACTTTGAAGGATTTGAAACATAAAAAGCATCTTGGCCTGTGAATTCTCCTGTTACTAGGCTGTTTATGAAAATCTTTTTGCACAAGAAGGTGTCTGGTGGCTTCAGATTAGATTATACATACCTGTTAGGAATAAAGCAGAAGGGGATTCTGATAAAAAGACCAAAGGCATAACCCATAAATCAAGAAGCGAAACAAAAATGGAACCTGCTGCTGATGGAATTTCCATTGATTTATTTGAACAGCCCCAGTATGAATAATAACTTAATCTGTCTCAAGACTCTCTCCCCACAGCACACTGATTTACAGCAGCCATCCATCTCTTTTCATAATTAGCAGTCTCTGACAGTATTTATTCTTCTCTGCCCACCTTCATTACCATTAAAATTTAGGCTTTCTCCCTGCTCTGGAGCAGCCAGCATTTGTACTGCCTGGTGCACTGGGATTAGTCAACAATTTGATTTGTAGAGGTGTTTTCTTATGCCATAGCTCCTTTCCACTGGCAGGTAGAGTCTTCTGCTTGCAGGAGGAAACTTTTCCAGGAATTCAGCAGAAATCAACACAGCTGTGGCACTGGTTAACAAAAAAAGGAGTGGGGCTGTAGTGCTGAAAGTCAAGGTGTGGAGCAAACAAGCCTCTGCCCCTTCAGCTGCTCAACAGAAACAAAAAGAACCAGGCTGGCCAAAGCATCAGTTAACAGAGTAAATAAATCAGGCTCCTTTTTTATAGGTGATTTTGAGAACCCATATTGTCTAATACACTGCAGAAGCAGATAAAAATATTATTGATGCATTAAAAGCATAAATGAAGATGTATCCTTTAAATTCCAAAAATATATCTTAAATAGCTGAATATAAGGTCAAAAGGTAACTTTCTGTTTCAGCATAATTACATTGATGACGTGTGATCACTGGATGGTGTGATCCCAGAGTTGATTTGGTAAAGAGAAAGCAAGACTGCATGTTCAGAATGTTAGATGGGCCTGAAGTTTCATAACTAACCTGATTATTCACTTATTGCTTGTTAACATGGTAAATCAAGAGATGGTGTTAGGCATTTAATCAGCATGTAATATTAATGTGAAATTAATTAAATAATTATTGACATCTCTATCAAAGTGACTACTTTTGATTATTAACCGAAATTTAATTAAGTTGCTTATGGCAATCTGTGAAATAATCTTTAAACAGGTTTATTTGAGACACAAATAGAAACTCCTCTTTGAACAAGGTATTTTGGGGTTCAGAGTTACCTCCTTCTGTCTATGGAGTATTAGTGGTTGAGCATGAGCCTTATAATAGATAGACAAACTTGACTTTAATTGCTCAAATCATTCCGGGTGAAACATTTTGTTCATTTTTCTCCCTCTTGTAGGAACTGTTGGAAGGTGACAGGGTGACCAAAGGAGGTATCCTGGAGGATACACGCTGCACCAAAGTGAAAACTGTGGTCTCCCTTTTTGTAAGTCAGAGGGAACAAAGTCAAATACATCATTTATTGCAAATTCTTCTTTCTGCTTGAATGACTGTGTCCATTTTCTGAGTATGGAGACAGAATATAGAGGTGAAAATGAAGTGCCTGTCTTGCCCCCTGAGCACGCACACTGACATGTTGATGAAATTCCACTTTCTGTTCCTTGATTTTACACCTTAATCATAGGCCCAAACATTCCAGCTTCATTGAGAAGCTGATTGCTCATGAATGTCACCCAGCCCCCAAGACTCCTACAGAATGTCTCATCACACATGCTTGTTTAGATAAACAAATATTGCTGACAGCAGCACCATGAATGAAACCTTATTTGCACAGCTTTGTGACTTGTGGCTGAGCTTGCTGGTGATTAGGAAAGGACATGTTCATCCTGCTGAGTTTTCATAGGTGAAGAACACAGGTTCTTCTCTTTTGATGGTGCAGGTTTTCATGGAATATGAAAGGTGTGTATTTGAGAGCTCTGCTCCTCTGTCCAATTTGGCTGAAGTCAAGTGATGTTTTCAGAATTTATTGTCAGGGTGACACCCAGAGACTGGGCCTTCAGACTGATAGTAGGAGTCATAAACCCTGCTTTCCTACATGAAATAGGCTATAATCATCCCTAGCAGGTAGACCTGTCTCAGGTCATCATACCATAGCCTTTTTAATTATCTTTATTATAGCAAAACCAATCATGGCCCTCTAAGAAAGCCACCTTCACAGCAGCTTGCCAGTAAGTTATTTACAGGTCTAAGTGTGTCTGCTGAATTTGTGCAGTCCTTCAACATAAGAACGATTTCCAGTATCACTGCTCTTTAATTTTGTATCTGAGCTAGTTTATTACCACAGGTCCTATCTTAAAAATCACTTAGATTCCAAACCTCATTATTCTATCACTCTTCTCTCTTTAGTTGTGTTTACCAGGAGAATTGAAATAGAACATTATCCCCCTTGCTGATTTTTGGTTGTAATGTGAGATCTTTGCTGTTTGGCACAGTCTTGATAAAGGAACCAGAGAAAGCTATTAAGGAGTAGTTTATATCAATGGTCAATGTCCTTTATAGTGCCACTTTTGAAAAACATCTTCATTCAATTGCCCTGTCAGGCAGCAATAACCACTTCCACTGATTTGTGGCAAAGCCAAGAAAAAAAATGAGTACTTCCTCATCTTTCTTGTGTGTGAGAAAGGAATTTCAAAATGGCTGTGGGGAACACCTGTATGTTTTTAACAGTAGAAAAGATGTGTGTGGGAAGAAGGGCCCCTTCCTAAAGATTGCACTTTGGAAACCTGGTGCTTACAACAGCAAATAAAACATACAGGGGCTGAGGGAGGAGGGAGCTTTGCAGTGACACAGAGACCTGCTGGCAGGAGAAGTGATAAATGTGGGATGCAGAGGGAGCAAGGCAACAACTGCACACCAAAGCACCCACCCTTCATCTCAGCAGCAGCTGGCTCTAAATGAACAGTGTGTTTGCCTTACCTTCAAATTCTCTGGCTTTTTTTTTGTCTCAACTTCACTACTTCTCCAGCAATAAAGAAACAACTTTGAGTTTATAGAACTCTTCACAAAGTGAGTTAGGGTCTGTGGAGTCAGGCTGAGAGTGTGAAGCAGATTTCAAGGTGCAGAACAAAACCATATGCTCATCTCTAGCAGACACGGAGAGGATGCTGTATTCTTGTCTCTTGGGAATTTATTTTTGTGTTCATTTTTGTCAGGCACACCTGCAGGAGAAAGGAAAAAGAAAAGGAGATTCACGTGCAGAATTATGAAGCCAAACATCTCAGTTGTGAGGGGCCCTTTAGATAATCCATGTCACAATTTCATTTGTGTGAATGCACAACATCCACCAGTCACTTGTGGTGCCATGACAATACAATTCTTGTAGTTGGTCCTGAACACTACCAGGCATCACTACAGTATTTTGTGCGTGGCTGTGTGCTTCCCAGGCAGGCATCAAAGACACTGAAGAGATAAAATCACTTCCAAAAAAGGTCCCCCTCTGCTCTCATGGTAGTGTGAACACATGTTCAGAGTTACAGTGTCCTTTCAAAAGTTTCCAGGGGAAAGAGGCCAAATAGCATTATTTTGGAGCTGTGTAAATTTCTGAACTGGTAGCCAGGAGGAAGAAGCAACATTGCCTTCCATCTCGTAAAACATACATGAGACTCTATTTCAATTTTAACAGGATTTAAAACTAAATCTCTTCCAGAAAAAAAAAAAAAATCATACTATTCTGAAAGATATTTTGGTATTTGATCTTCTTTTCTTTAGACTTACTTTGAAGATTTTTATTAAGAGAAATTTGGAAAAGCCAGTTTACTTTGAAGTGTAATACAGAAACTCACTGTGCAAAAAAAGCCACTGAAATGCTTTGGCCTTTTGTAAATTACAAACAATGATAAGGCAAAAAATTACAAACCCACAAATTCTTTCAGACAACACAATGTGCTTTTTTTCCATCAAGAACTTCTGTCTCCCTGCAGTGAAGAAGCTGGATCACTAGCCTTTCCTGACCTCTCCATAAAAATGGCTTGATTAATGGAAAGGGAAGATGAGGCAAAAGCCTTCCCTACAAATAACAGCTGTCTTCTGACAGTGTCAGCGTCCCTCCTTTTCTTTAGGCACAGGGACCTTTTACACTTTGGGGAAAAAGGAAATAGATTCATTTCAAAGAACAGCATTCAGGCTCATTTAGAGTTTAACAGCCAGTGCTGTATTAATGGCTGTCATTTTCTGCCTGTGCTCGTACCTGCTGACACGGGCTTACAGCATCCTTGTGTTCATCAAAGTTGTTCATCTACCCCAGCCTGCTCCAAAATACACCCCAGAGTCCAGAGCGAAACAAAGTGATTCTTTAACTGCTGCTTCAACCTGTGCAGTCAGGGATCCGTCACAAATGCAGTCTTACAAATCTGAAAGTTAAAAAATTATGTAGAAAAGGAGATTTCTGCTAGAAACAGAGTTTCTTCCAGCTGAGAACAAGCTGATGGGAGCTTGAAGAATTCTGTGCATTTTAGAGGGTTCTGTAATTTCTTAATTATTTGAGGTCCAAATTTAGCTGTTACACTGAGAAGTACAGACTTCCTAAATTACCAGCACTGTCCCTGCTTAACCATATCTTGCCAGCAAGTAATTTCTTGAGCATTTTGAAAAGATAGGCTTAGAAAATTGTGAGAGTGTTGATAAAAATAATGACTGTGAAGCCAGGACAACCAGGTGTCTTGGATTAACATCCGAGACAGCAGTTGCAGATTAGAAGAAGGTAAAGATGTTTCTAGCTCTATTTCTCAGTCTGAAGTACCAAGGATACTGAAAGATATAGGAGCTTGTGCTGAGTAAATGTATGAGAGACCCTCAAGTCTATGAGTGAAGAAAATACTCATCAGATCTGTGAAATCTCATTTGAGATTTTTCAATTTTTTGTTAGCTCTGGCCAAAATATTCTTTAGGAAACTTATTTTCCTTTTCAAGTGAAGATTACAGCAAATAATAAATGAAGAAAAAATGTGGTTTGTGCAAAGGACAGCATTGGAAAGCATTTCCAATGAAAGGAAAATGCCAGTAATGACACTCTTCTCCACTGCAAAGTATGCAATACAAAACATTTGGAACCCTCCAGCTGCACATTGGTGGAGGATGGAACCCTTGGAGTGTTGATACATATCCTCTTCTGTAGAGATCTGCGTTTGATCTGAGGTAAGGAGGCAGGACATGGGACAAAGTACATTTTTGGTTCATTGTTGTTCAATTTGCTATGTCAACTGTTCTTAAGCACATTGGGTTATTTAGAAACATGGTGAGATTGGGAAAAAAAACCCGTCCTAACATCACAAAAAAGTGTTACAGATATCTTGAGTTAAAACAGAAAAAGGGAAGAAAAAAGGAAAGCAACTTGTGTATTTACACTTGAAATAGCAGTTTAGGGAATGGACTTGAAAGAAAGCTCTTAGTTTAAAGATAAAGCCAAGACATTGACTTGACCCATTTAGTTACCAAAGCTAAATACTGACATTCTATGTTACTGAAATGTTATTATTCCATATGATTCTTTCACTTGCTTCAAATCCTCCAATCACATAATGCTGAAATAGATCTGTGTACTCCTCTTGGTTTATCTTAAGTTTGTGTGCTGACAATGGAAATATTTGGAAGGTGAGGCCTTCTCTTCCTTCTGCATCTACATCAAGGCTGCCTTCAGGAGGCAATCAGACTGCTTTGTTTCCTAGGTGGGTGGCACATAACATTTCACTGCAGCACGACTACCTTGCTGCTTTTCAAGGTCATTGCAAGGGGTACCGTGCAGAAATGAGCCCAGCCCAGAAAGATTGCAGGACTTACTGATGCAGCTGCAGCATCTGAGGGGAGCAGAGCAGTTGCAGCATGCAGAGAAAAATAGAGTGCAGCAACCAAAGTATTCAGGGAGGCAGAAAGGCTGCAGGATAATTTACAGGACAGGCTGGTCTTTCTGTACTTGCCTTTAAAGGATGACATTCACACCATGGGCATAGCAGGTGACATCTCACATGAGGCTAATCAGGTGGGAAGTGCACCTGGATCACAGCCTTGCTCTGGCTCTAGCTGTGATGGATGAAGGGCTGCTGCATCAGATGTCAGCTCAGACATGCAAAGTGCAGGGGGTGGTCATGGCTCTGGGGCAATCACTAACAGCACACCCACCTCTTGCTTCCTCATAACAATGACAGGTGGAAAATTCAGGTGCTATGGTCTCCATTCCAGCTTTCCTCTTGTACTTCCTACAGTTTAAAGGAAGGCAGTTCATGAGGCACAAATATTTCCTCAGTATACTCTGAGACCTACCACTCATACCAGAAACATTAAAACTTGCTAGAGATTTTTATTACACGAAGATTTCTGTGATGAATTTTTAGTTTTGATATCAGAGTTGAAAAGTTTTGAAAAGTGCTGAGCTTCCACTAAACAGGAGAGTGGGTAGAGACAAGTGAAAATGGTAAGAGGAGGGGAAACCACCCATTGTGCAAAACCTATTTGATATTTTACTCTGAGTTATTTT